TGCGGGAGGCGCGGGAGGCGCGGCGGGAGCTGGCGGAGGAGCGGCAGGAACGGGAGGAGCGGCTGCGGGAGCGGGAGCGGGAGCTGCTGGCGCTGAGGGGGGCCCTGAGGGACAGGGAATCCAGCCGGGATGGGGAGCTGGAGCAGCTCCGAAGGGACCTGCAGCGGCTCCGGGAGGAGCGGGACGAGGCCGCCGAGGTGAGCGCCGGGAAGAGACGCCCGGAGGGATTCCCGAGGGAGCGATTCCCGAGGGAGCGATTCCCGAGGGAGCGACTCCCGAGGTGGGATTCCCTTGGTCCTTCCCGGATTTCGTGGCCACGGGGTGGTGGGACAAAGCTGCAGCCCCCAGACCTGCCATGGATGATCCAGACACCAGGGGAGGGGAAGGTTTGGGCAGGGAATCTTTGGGAACTTGGCTTATCCTGCTGGATGCAGCCCAAGTGAACCCCCTGGATGATCCCAGGCACCAGGGAAGGGGAAGGTTTGGGAAGGGGAAGGTTTGGGAACTGTTGGTTTATCCCAGTGGATGCAGCCCACATGAACCCCTGGATGATCCCAGGCACCTGGGAAGGGGAAGCTTTGGGAAGGGAATCTTTGGGAACTTGGCTTATCCCGGTGGATGCAGCCCAAATGAACCCCCTGGATGATCCCAGGCACAGGGGGAGGGGAAGGTTTGGGAAGGGGAAGGTTTGGGAACTGTTGGCTTATCCTGGTGGATGCAGCCCAAATGAACTCCTGGATGATCTCAGGCACCAGGGAAGGGAAAGGTTTGGGAAGGGAATCTTTGGGAACTGTTGGTTTATCCCAGTGGATGCAGCCCAAATGAACCCCCTGGATGATCCCAGGCACCAGGGAAGGGGAAGGTTTGGGAACTGTTGGTTTATCCCGGTGGATGCAGCCCAAGTGAACCCCCTGGGTGATCCCATCCAGGCAAAGGCGTCCCTGGAGAGCACCCGGGAGGCGTCGGAGCAGGCGAGGAAGGCGGTGGAGTCCAGCCTGAGGGAAGTGCAGGAGCAGAACGACGACCTGAGGAGGAAATTCCTGGGCCTGGAGACGAAGCTGAAGGAATACGAGCGCCTGGGGGAGAACTGGGAGGGCTCCCAGGCGCGGCTCAAGGACAAGGTCGCCAAACTGGAGGTACTTGGAGCGTTCCCTGAGCTTCCCAGAGCTCTTCCCGAGCTCAGGGAAGGGGTTGGAAGAGCTCCTTCCCCGCAGGCAGAGCGCAGGCACGTGGAGGAGTCGCTGGGAGAGGCCACGGAGCGGGAGCAGGAGCTGCTGTTGGCCAAGAGGTCCCTGGAGACGCGGCTGGAGGAGGCCGAGAGGGGCCTGGCCCGGCTGGCCCAGGAGCAGCAGGACCTGAGCCTGTCCCTGCAGGAGGAGCAGCGGCAGAAGGAGCAGCTCAGGCGCTCCAAGAACGAGCTGGAGGAGCAGAAACGGCTCCTGGACCGGACCACCGAGAAGCTCAACAGAGAGGTCGGGGCTGGAACCCCCTTCCCCTTTCCCTTTCCCTTTCCCATTCCCTTCCCCTTTCCCATTCCCTTCCCCTTCCCATTCCCTTCCCCTTCCCATTCCCTTCCCCTTTCCCATTCCCTTCCCTTTCCCATTCCCTTCCCCTTTCCCATTCCCTTCCCCTTCCCATTCCCTTCCCCTTCCCATTCCCTTCCCCTTTCCCATTCCCATTCCTTTCCCCTTCCCCTTCCCCTTTCCCTTCCCCTTTCCCTTTCCCATTCCCATTCCTTTGCCCTTCCCCTTTCCCTTTTCCATTCCCCTTCCCCTTTCCCTTCCCCTTTCCCATTCCCATTCCCTTTCCCATTCTCTTCCCCTTTCCCCTTTCCCCTTTCCCCTTTCCCCTTTCCCCTTTCCCCTTT